TTTTCAAATGACATTGTTTAGGCCCCAAAGATGATCGAAATAGAAGATTTCATGAAGATTATTTTTCAGGTCTAGTCCATTTCTATTTTTGGTAATAAGCAAAAACGTTCCTAAGGTTCATCTCTGAGCTGAGAAGTCCTTTCAATCGATTTTATCCTGCTGGTAAAATTGAAAACATTTCAACGGATTTTGAACCATATCTTTATATCAAAATTATTATTTTTAGTTTGTTCCTGATATACATGGACAACAGCCAACGTTAAAAAAATATACAAAAATACCTATTGTTTTTTAGCTTTCATTTGCTTATATTCATAAAAAGATCTGTGCATGCCTGTGTTCTGTGTGCAATAATAGAACGCCATGTTTCCAATTTGTTTGTATATATTGAAGGACGCGTGCGTTGTATGACCGCACGTAATACAAAAATATACTCTTTCACCCTTGCCCAGTCTCTGATCTTCCTCCTATCTACCGATTTCCTGTTTTTCTGTTCGGCAACACTGTTGACCACTCGCCGCTGTCGCACCTGCACCCAATAATAGCATGGCTAACTGCTGGTTCAGTAACGTTGCCAGATGGTCGATAATCTCGGTAGGGCTGCGGAATAATGCCTGGCGGACTAATTGCATGGGCCTGTTTGGCCGACTTAATGAATTCAGTTATTTTGTTACAGATGCTTATCGCTAACGTTTTTCTCAAAGAGGCTAACTTGTGCGAAGTCAACCAACTCGGCGCATTTTTTTATCTAATCTCTAGCTTGCCTTTTTAGACAGAACTAGTCTTGTAGTAATGTGACGACATTACAAAATCTATCGGCTAGATTCATAACCAGTGCAACCTAATATTTGACGACTTCTCGCTCGACTCATCATTATTTATCGCGTTATTATACGGTTTAAGAAGCTGTTCATGATGACGGCCATATATATTCAATTTTCTGGAAGTTCTTATGATCATTATCCAGTTAAGTGATAATTTTATTGAAATATGGGCGCCTCGGGCACTACACATTCATAAGCCATGTCGGCATTCATGAAATATTCTCAATTAAGTGACAAGTGCCTAACTACGCATATCATTAACTTGAAAGAAAAAATACATTCCGGTCACCCCGACAGGTCTTATTGCTTCTTCATATTGTTAGCGTTTTCCACTGGAAGGGAGTGGTGCGTTTCAGCGGTCAAGCGTGAGGATATGAAATACTTCAGGGGCACTTTTGCATTAGAGCACACAAATTCCTTCTAGAAGGTTCACAAGTCTGGCTAGTGTCACTTGTTCCCAGGGTAAGCTTCCAATTGCGTCATTTACACACAAACGGGTATAACGGTCACTGCGAGAAGGAAGTAGTGCTCTGTGTGAATTTCATTACATTGGTTGTAGTGTTTTGGCCATCAATCACTAAGTAACGTATGTCCTAAGGTGCATTTAATCGCACCACAACCGACTCTATCAGACATGCCTTGGTTAGACACGGGGTTGGATCAATCCTAATAGATTGGATCCTATCTACTCTGGAGGATCGGGTAACAACAGCTATGCTGAATGACGTAAGCTGCGGCGTGAGTGTAGCTAGAGGCTGCCCTCTGGGCTGAGTTCTGTCACCCCTACTGTGATGTATCGTGGTCGAACGAAGTCCTCGTTAGGCTCAGCAGTATGGGTGTCTACGCGCAAGCCTATGCTGATGACGTAAGTATAGTAGTTAGGGGGCGTTTTTGTAGAACAGTCTCGGAAATTATGCAGGGCGCTCTGCGCTCCGTGGAATCGTGGTGTAGCAAAGTCGATCTTTCCTCCTTCTCTCTTGTACGGCTCCCTGGTCTGGTGGCCTTGCATTAGAACTGAGACAACTAAGGCCAAACTCAATAAAATTCAGCGTTTGGCCTGTATTAGTATTACAAGCGCAGTGCGAACAACGCTATTGAGTGCAATGGAAACTCTGTTGGATCTCCCACCGTTGGATCTGGTGATCCGCGGTGGAGTCACGGCAGCTGGGCTTTCTTGAATCCTGTCAAGGGGCATACTGCCATCTTAGTCGAATTACAAAGGGAGGACCCCGTCCTTCTAAGCAGGGGTGATCGTACTGCCCCTAAATATCGCTTGAACCGCAAGTTTATTGTGGATTATCCTACGAGGGAGGAGTGGGACGCCGGTAGCTGGTGATGTTTCAATGACAAGCTGTCATCTCGTACTTTGACAGTATTTTGTTTTCAACATTTCATAGCTATCGGTTGCTAAAATTTGTTGATTGGAACTTGAAGCTGATTCGCTGTATTTTACGGATTGTTACCCCATAGGTGGAGAAAAATGGACTGTTGATTTGACAATCCTGATGAAATACACCCATAGAAGATCTGTATTGAAGAGCCTCCTTGTGGACATTCTAACCTGATCATTATTGTTTCTAATTTATACATCTTAAAGCGAAAACATCGAAATAAATAAATATCAACTGACAGCAGAATAAGTAAACAAACTATTGTTTCCAAAGGCAACTTGTTATTATTTTGTGTTTGTTAAAATTTCACTTTGTTCTGCTGTACTTATCGCTGACCCAAACGTATCCAGCCGACGATAAATAACTCGACGGTGATTTTAAATTGATCGTTTGACCGTCTGGACGTCATCAAACAACGGAAAACGCGTCCATTCATTCTCAGCACACGCATTTACAAAGTATTGCTACGTGAAGTGTCTGGCGTGTATCGTATATGCAAATATTTAGATTCAATGTGAGTCGCAGCAGCAAGGTGGGCATCGTTTCAACGGACCTCCAGCAAGATAAGACAGAGGCGCCACCGAAGAAACTTCTGTTTTTAAGAAATCAGACTTCGTTTTCTGGAGGATTTTTTATTGCAATGGTCCCGAAACGAGTAAGGCGAAAATGCTGACCGTATCAATTGTGCAAGTATTATATCTGCTCAACTCATAATCAGATGGTGTGAACGAACTTCGATAATCACATACGCGCTTAAGGATATGTGTTAGTAGTGCGAATTCCAGATCGATTATTGCGGTCTCGTGATATCAGCAGTTATTGATTTATGACTTTCATTGTATGGCAATAAGCGTGAGAAGCTACGCCTGAGATCTTTAATATACAGTGCTTTTCAAAAAAATGCCCATTTACACTAGTATTCAAAAGTATTTGAATGGCTGCACATTTCCATTTAAAACCACAACAGACAAAAAAAAACTATTCAGCACGTATTTGTTTTTCTTTATTTATTGAAATCAAGCATGGCTGAAAGGTGATTGGAATCAAAATTTTGCTCACATTATCATTGGGATCTCATTATTACCCATTATAGGACTTTTCTTTGCCCTTGAAATATCGTTATGTTTTGTATAGGCATTCTTTCTCAGGACTTGTTTTTCGATTATTTCTTTTAATTGGTGTTGTAAGGAAACTCATAACACAGTTGTACTTCAGTTTTGTCTCATTTGACAACCGAACCAGGCTCCAATAGCTAATAGTTCATGATTGTTCAACAAGTGCGTTTCCGTTTATTTTTTTTCCGAACAAAACGGGTAAAACTAAATGATACGAGTTATTATTGGTCTTCATATACTCGAGAAATTTCTAAGCTTCAGAAGGTACCACTGTCATCTGTACAGTACATTATTAAGAAATTTCAGGCTCAAGGCACAACATCCAATAGCCGTCATTCAGGGTGACCTTGAGTTGCGACTTCCACTGAAGACTTAAGGCGGCTCCGACGCGGTGAGTTTCAAGCCATTTACAAGGGTTCAGCTGCTTCAAAACTGACACTCCATTTTTCGATATTTTTGAATGAAATTCGTACAGTATGTTGAGAAGATAATTGCCGAGGATGCTATAGGAGCACTTTTTGAAATTTTGTTTTTGTACAACTTTTATGATGCATTGAAGTGCGTACTTTTTCTGTTCAACTTCGCGATTTTTTTAAAAAGAATCTAGCGAAAAAAATTAAAAAGTGGGTCTATACCAACCTGTGGGGTTTTGTTTTCAGCACTCTGTGAAAATTTCATCAAAAAATATCAAAAAATAAAGCGTCAATTTTGAAGCGCGCAAACCTCTACAAATCGTATTTTGGGCGAATTTTGTCTACTGTTTCGTGCTGCCAACCCAAGCGTTGCGGCGCAATGTACGGACTAAGAAAGGACGTATTCAGATAATTTGGTGGCCCTATTTCATATAATATCGCGATCGCTAATACTCCTCGATTTTAAAGCCGTTTTACTTCCCACGTCGTTGGCGAGGAAGCATTGTAATCGCGAAAAATTTCTAAAATGAGATGTTATGTTTTTTTAAGTCATATGACATCTACATCACGAAAAACTGTATCACTCTTCAACTTGGAAATAACCGCTCGGATTGTTATGAAATATCCACACGGGGTTACTAGTATGCCGAAGCTTTGTAGTTTAAGTCCAGTGGCAACGGCATGAATTAAACTCACAGCATTCGTAATTAAAATGGTCGCATATGACCCTTTATTGTTCATTATCAGCCTTGATAAAAAAATTCACTCAAGAACAATCACACCAACAACAATTCAACAACACAATATCGACGAACAGTAACAAGGGCAGAAAAATACTAAATGATCATTTGCTGAGTACCAAAATAAGAAACGATTTACATTTTAGATCGCTAATCGAAATCCGATTCTGTTATTATAAAAATTTACCTTGGTATGCATCCGCAGTCATCCTTTCCTCTTTTAAAGTAACGCCGACGACCGTCTAGGCCCAACCCACCCGTGTTTCCTTTTCACCCCCCCGTTCCCTCAGCAGATGGTGCTCGTGATTGTAGGAGCCCCGTTAAGCATAAAAGTGAAAAGGAAACGCTATAGACGCATAACTGAAGCTGAAATAGCCGCGGACTTGATTTGGGCTGTAGTAAACCTGTAAGTGTGAATACATTTAAAAGTATGTTACTTGAAGCTGGACTTAAGGGATGCATCGCAATTCCTCAGGGTTACTAACAAAAAAAAAGAGACTGAATTGGGCCAAACAACATGAAATTTGGACAGTTGTTGACTGGAACAGCGTTCTTTGGAGAGATAAATCGAAATTTGATGTTTTTGTTTCCAAGCACAGGGTAGGCTCTATAATTATTTGGGACTGTTTTGGTGGTTCCGCTCTGTGAGATATTGTCAGAGTACAGGAATACTGAATAAAGAAGGTAACAAAGCCATACTACAAAAACATATTAGGCCTTCCGGGACTCGTTTCATTGCTCCGGGATTTGTCTTTCAGCATAATAATGACCCCAAACACACATCTAAGCTCTGTAAACAATTTTTAGAAGCAAAAGAAGAACAAAACATTTGAATCCGATAGAGCTGCTGAGGGATGAACTGGACAGACAAGTGCGGAAATGTTGTCCTACATCTCAAGAGCACCTATGGAGAATATTACAAAAGGAGTCGTGAAAAATAACCCCATCTACTTTAGAAAAGTTAGTTGCGCGTTTACTCATCACTTGCCAGGCTGTAGTTAAAAGTAAGGGAAGACATATTGATGAGTCAAAAATATGCATGTTTTGATTATAGTTAGTTGTATGTTGTTAGGAATTAAGAAAATAAATGTTTCATACAGGTATTCCGATGTTTTCTTTAATAACTTCCATTAGTTTCCTTGTTTTCTGGGTGATCAAATACTTTTGAACGTTAGTGTATAGTTTGTGAATTGTACACGCAGTGGCTGCAAATTCTGCTAAGTAAAACAATAAATATTGAGGTATGACCCTTGACGTCGGACTCAAGTGGGAACACCATATTAAAAACATTACGTCAAGTACATTGACTATACTTACTATGCCTTTGTTGGAGGTCAAATCGTTTCAAAACGCGAAATCGAACCGTGATTGGGTAAGTTCACTTAGGTACGAACTTTGCATATCAAGTTATACAGAGTTGGTGCTTCCTCAATTTCAGGTGTTCTCACACTTAGAAGTCTACCTTGAGATGTTCCTTTTCGGACAGAACCAGTTTCAACGAGACGACGATGAATATTAGAAAAGGTTCGACGATCTGGCAAATTACGATCGGGATATCTCTGGTGATAAATCCGTCTGGCTTGCTCACCGTTACCGTCGGCAAGGCCGTATACGTAATTCATCTCCGCCATTTCTGCATTTGAATAATTCACCATTATTAACAAGATTGTAAAAACTAAATAATGAAAAAGATGTCACAGCGAACCGATTTGAATACAAGAGACTTGCCAGATGTCAAAAGCCGGTGACGTATTCCAGAGCGACTAGGTATTTATTGCTAAATTGCATTCTTCAATTACATTAATTTTCTCGTACAATAAAACAATTCAAGAGATATCGTTTGTTTTAAATTGAACGGGGGATTGAAAAATAATTTTTATTTAGCATTAATATCGAAGTCAATACCCGTACGCACGGCACTGTTGAAGCTAAAAATTATTTTTGCATTGAAAAGTATGCAACTTTATTAAGTTTCACTACGTATTAAATATCAGTGAAATATCTAACGCGGTTCTGAAAATATTAATTAATTTTCATTTTTTTTCTAAAACTTCAACGCCCCGAGTTTTGGTAATGAAACATTTTTGGACCATAGTTTATAAAGCAAACTAACATTAATTTGTCATGTAGATGTACACCCTTAATTATTCGCATATCACCTTGTATAAAGCAAATCTATCACATTTTTGTTTCCATGGAAGATATAGGGAAATGTGTGTGGCTTATTATGCCTAACAGTATCTCTAAGGTCAGCAACATACTTGAACAACGTCAAAACAATTGTAAATAAATTTTAATATATCTAGAACAAGGGCAACCCGTGCCGAGTTACGTTGGAACATGTCAAAACTTGCACATTCGGCGCGACCTACCTAACGTGCACACAGCCTGACACTAATCAAACTCAAATGAGGTAAAGTTTCACAACTATTAAAATTAGTGGCAGCATTAGATGCGTGTCAGTTAACACGTTCACTGCGAAAGACGCTGATCCGCGTCCGACCGATGTTTAACGAAAGGCGGCGGGCGCGGATCCGCGCTTCTGGCTGACATAAGCTCACAAGACTGTGGTGTTGTCAGTTTGTACCGCACTCGCTGTTTGGTCACCTACATATTGAACATCTTTTTGGACTATTTTACGCGTAGGATCAAGTTTCGTTTATTTTTACATTGCGCAATAACGGATGATGTGGAAGCAGGTTGTTCACGTCCAAAACGAGTGAAAACGTATTGTAACCGTAATAAAGGGCTTACAGAAAAAGAACTGTATGATATTCTTGCCAATTCGGGGAGTGAAATCGAGAATCTAAGAGATTCAGACAATTATGTTCCCAGTTCAGATGGAAGTGAGCAGTCTGATGGAAATATGTCTGAAACGATTGATGATTTTTCCAGCCCACAGAAAAATCTTTAATAGGGTTTCAAGACATGTTTCGTGTTACTGCACGAAAAAAAAAACGAGATAGAAGAAGAAAATGTATATATGAAATAGTTTTCAATTACACAACGCACAACCAATAGGCTTACGACGCGAATCCGCGCTTCGCTTGTGCAGCGCCTAAAATCGTTTAGCCGCTACCATGCGCGCGGCGCGAGGCAGGTCGCAGCGAACGTGTTAAGTAAGATAAATGCTGTTTTTATTATTGTTATCTTGTTAAAAATGCAAAGTGAGCAGGCAAAAAGGGATGTCATCAAAAGAATCGGGGATTTAAAAGGTATATCTACAAGGCAATGTGGCTTAGAGGGAAGTGACAGAAAGATTTATTTCAACGAGGATCTGCCAATGTCTAAGAGGGTACTTTTCAAGATGTCAAGGGAACTTAAAAAGCAAAAGGGATATAAGGCAGCTTTTTACCTCAATGGATCTGTTTACATCAAAACAAATGAAAATGAGCAAGCCATAAAAATTAAATGTGAGTCTGATTTGGACAAATTAAGATAGTATAGGTATAGTAAATGTTTTAGGAGATCTATAACAGAACTTGTAAGTAATAATTTTCTCTTTTTTAATGGCTATAAACAGTATTTTTGATGATTATAAGATCTTAGAAACAAATGTGATAACTTATGTTAAGTAGACTTCTTTGATAATTCTGTATGCGACCTTAATTTTATGCATGTAAACATACGTAGTATTTATCAAAATTTTGACCAATTTTTGGTGTATCTTGAACCATTAAGTAAATCTTTCGATGTTATAATTATGTCAGAAACACACTATGTATACAATATAGACGATTTTAACATTCCTGGGTACAAAATATTCTTTAACGAAAGTAGTCTTAATCGATGTGATGGATCAATAATTTTTGTTAAAAATGAATATCATATTACAAATCAAATAATTCAAGAAAATAATTTAAAGATTATTAGTGTCACTTTGCAAAAAAATCATGCAACAGTTGTTCTCCTAGCTACGTATAGGTGTTTTTGTATTTCAAAGGATGAATTCATTGATAGTCTAGGAAGAATATTTCAACGTTCCATCACTGATCGGAACAAGGTTTATGTATTTGCTAGGGACATTAATATTGATCTCTTAGATAAGGAAACAGATACAACAAATAACTATTTGACTTTATTGCAAGGCTATGGGTTAATGAGTGCAATTAATAAATCAACAAGAATTACTGATAACAGTGGGACTTGTTTGGATCACTTTTTTATTAAATGTAAGAGTAATGTTTTTGAAAAGGTTAGGGCTGTGATTTTGAAGAGCGACCTTACAGATCATCACCCCATTCTCCTTAATATTCAGCTAGATAGATTAGATGAGGGCATTACAAATGAAATTAATACTTTTACAAAAATAGATTATGAAAATATCACACAAAAACTAAACGGAGAGTTGTGGGGTGATGTTCTACAAGAAAATAATGTAGAGCTTTGCACAGAGGCTTTCATTAATCATAAAAGACATCATTTTGAAAGCCACTATAACTAGGCCTATACCCAATAAAAAAAAGAAATTAAAACCTTGGATCACTGGTGGGCTCCTAATATCTATTCGAAACAGAAACCTCCTTAAAAGGGGATGTGCACTAAATCCCAGCAATTTCGTAGTTTTAAACAGGTATCAGGAATACAGGAAATTTTTAAGTAAACTTATCAAGAAAGTGAAGTATAATTATTACAAATATTTAACACAAAAAAATTTGGATAACCCCAGAAAATTGTGGAATGTGCTTCGAGAGGCCACCAATGACCAAGAGAGTAAACCAGAAATAAAATGTATCACTACCAAAACTTATTCAGAAATAACTGATAAAAAAGAAGTTGCAGATTAATTTAACAATTATTTTTGTAACATTGGTAACAAATTAGTAAGTGAACTTACTAGAGGTACTTGGAAGAATGAAGTGCGGGAAAAAAGAGGTAATGAATCACTTTTCTTGTGTCCTGTGACGAATGATGATGTAATTAGGGAGATAAACTGTTTAAAGAATGGGGTAAAAGGCGGGGAGGATAATATTTCATCAAATATAATCAAGAAATATAAAGAAAAACTTAGTATTCTATTGAAACACATAATAAACCTAGTTTTTGGTACTGGTATTTTTCCACAAATATTAAAAAAAAAACAAACTGATACCTCTTCACAAACAAGGAGATAAAAAAGACATGAACAACTATAGACCCATTGCATTAACTAGTACAGTAAGTAAAATTATTGAGAAATGTCTGAAAAGAAAATTAATGCAGTTTTTGGAAAAGCATAAATTACTCAAATCAGTTTGGTTTCAGAGAGAATTCTAACACTGAAGTTGCACTTGTCAGGGTCACTGAGAGTATTCTGAAAGGGCTAGACCAAGGAAAAAAGGTGATGGGTATATTTTTAGATCTAAAAAAGGCATTCGATACAGTGGCACATCCAATTTTACTAGGTCGTTTGGATAATCTGGGAATAAGGGGCAATCCAAATAAACTCATAAAGTCCTATCTTTCTGGACGTGAACAAATCACAAATGTCTCGGGTCAGGAAAGTAATATTTTGAAGGTAGAATGCGGGGTGCCACAAGGTATGGTTCTCTCAACTTTGCTGTTTATAATATACATAAATGATATAATGGAACAATTAAATGATGCAAACATAACTATCTATTGCTTTGCAGATGATACGAGTATTTTAGTAAGTGGTGAAGATTGGGATTCCGTCAAATTAAAAGCTGAAAGAGCATTGCACACAATTAAAAATTGGCTAGATTTTAGTTTGCTCTCTCTAAATATTGAGAAAACCAATTTTATGACTTTTTCCCTTTCCTCGCGTACTTTGTCTAATCTAAACTGCATTAAGATTCATGACTCATATTGTGACTTTGCACCTCAGTGTGCATGTAGCAAATATATAAATAAGAAATCGAGCTTGAAATATCTAGGAATAATTATAGATGAACTTCTTACTTGGAAAGATCATCTTGAGTATGTTACAACAAAGATTAGAAAACTTATTCACAGATTTTATGAATTAAGGGAAATATCCTTAAAACAGTTTATTTTGCTTTAACAGAATCTGTAATTAATTATGGTTTCGTAGTTTGGGGAAATACAAGTTTAGCAACGTTATCCAAGTTAGAGGTAGCTCAGAAATGTATCATAAAAATTATGCTTTTCAAACAGAAACGATATTCATCTGAACTTGTTTTTAGAGACAGTAAAATATTGAACCTAGAGCAGCTCTATTTAAAATCACTTATAAGATTTATGATGAAATATGATTTCTACAAAGAATACTCACAGCATGGCCAAAATACAAGAAGTGCTGCTCATGCAAAAGTAAAATTGCAAAACCCTAGACACACAGCTTGCCAGAGTCACGTTTACTGTATAGGTCCAAAAGTTTATAATGATGTGCCAAATAGTATTAAGATATTGAGATATTCTACTGTTAAAAAGGAATTAACAAGATGGATTATTGATAGTCAATACGCCATTAATTATGTAATATAAAAACCTGTAGCATTAAAGGTATTAAGTTCCTAAAATTTAAGATAAAACATAATAGCTTTGAATTTGTTTGATCTATTTTTATATTTCTTTTTCTCTTTGTAAACTAGAATTAAGAACCTCAATGAAAAAGTTACACTTAACAATGTGAATGGGGTGCACACACAGTATTTTGAATACAATTGTGCATCTAAAACTATTAGCAATAGTGGGTAATTTTAAGAATAGATAGCTGGATTTAAATATTATACAATAATTAAAAAAAAAATAGTGGCAGCATTAGATACGTGCCAGTTAAGTAAGATAAATGCTGTTTTTATCATTGAAGCAAGCAACCTGGACATAACACTGACGAGTTTCCTATAAGCAAGTCCTCCATTCAAAGAATTCGTACCGAAAAACGCAATGATCGCGCATAGGCTATAAAGCTTGATTTCCAAAGCGAGGCACCTGACGCTGTAACTGGCAAATTGTTACCACCTTTAAATGCACGCAAGTCTAAAGAAGAACGTCTACGTATGAAAATAAAGAGCAACTTTTCGCTGTGCCCAAATTGGATAGCCCTTCAGGCAGCGAGCAAGCTCAGGCAGTTTGGGATGCTATTATTAACTGGAATCTAGAAGACATGGTTCAGATTCTCTGTTGTGCCTGCTTCTCGAACAGAATCTCAATAAAGAAATGCTTTTTGTGGCTTGCCGCCACCACGTCTACGAATTAGCGTTTGAATCGAGGATCGACCAAGTGACTACAAGCCCTGACATTCAAATAATAATAATAATAATAATAATAATAGACGTCTTTATTTATCCACAATTACATTGTAGTATAGCCAAGTGTCAGACTTATATGGCGAAGTTTAGCATGCACTTACACTTAACCATATAGTCTCTAGCAGATGTTCAAAAGAATACACTATCCACAAACAGATTTGCTTCATTACATCGAAAGTAAAATTTAACAAAAAAAAGAGAAAAAGGCATACTTTCCAAACCCAAATGCACTAAAAAATTATTAATCTGAATTAAAGATGGAATAAAAAAGAAATAAATTATATGTTTGGAGGGTTGAGTAATAATGTTTTAACTTTTTGTCGAAAGACAGGTAATGAAAATTCTTTATATACTTTAGGAAGGTCATTATAAATAATAGCAACATTGTAAGGAAAACTGCGTTTAAAAAGTGTAGACGGGGTATTCTAATATTATCTTCTCTGAGAGTTCTACAGTGAACATCATTATTAAATGAAATTTTTTCCTTCAAGTAATAAGGTTTAGACGTGAGCAGCAACTTGTGAACAAAAACTGAATAGTGATACTTGACCATGTCATTAATTTTTAACCAGTTTAGAACGGGATATTTCGCCGATACATGATCAAATTTACGTAAACCAAAAATGAATCGTATACAATTGTTTTGAATAACTTGAATAACGTTTTTAGTGAAATTGTCTAAACAAGTATAGTATACGATATTACAATAATTTAGTACAGATATGACCAATGCTTCACATAGTTTTTTACGCATCTTAAAATTTAGTAAATACCTGTTTGCTAAAAGAGTGCGCAGCCGTAGGTAGGTTTTCTGAGATAGACTTTTAACATGTTCAATAAACCTTAATTTTGTATCAAAAACAACACCAAGAATTTTTGCAGAATCAGAAAATTGCAAGATTTGGTTATTTATCTGAATGTTTAAGAGCT